CGGCCTGTCACTATCCCAGAACAGAGTTGCAGCCTCTATGATTTTGTTGTCAGGCTGGATTTCTAGAAGAGAGGGTAGATTCCCTAAGTATTTGCGGACGAGTGTCTGATCACTGGAGTGGAGGTCTTCCTACCAATTTAGCAGCCTTGGATGAATGTTGGTTACCATGCCAAATCTGGGAACTTCGTGCCTCATTTTCTGCAAAACAAAGTGTTAGACCCTTACCCCACCAGACTCGACTATTTAAACCAATAATTAGCATAGCAAGCATTTAGTTCTCCAAATAAATGCATAGAATATGGTGGTGTCCGTTTGGGTTTCAAGGAAACCCAGTGGACTTTGGACAATGCTATCTTAATGAGTCATTAAGTGGACAACATAACTGACTCGGCTAGGTTTGACCATGATGCATGCACAATTTAAACAGAGTAAGGTTCCTATTGGGGTATTAGACATGTACCCTTGAGCGGACAACTCAAGAGGGAAAGGCACGAAACCGTCGACTGCACCGCTGATCGGCTGGTTTTACCGCAAATAAGCCTTTGCCGAATTTAAAGAGTGATAATATTGGAAGAGCGCAACCACTCATTATAAGCGTTGCTATGGTATTTGTTCGGCACGAGTGAAGTATGATGTTGAAGATGCAGTTTACAAGAATGAAACAAATTGACATGTATTTCCACGTTCATAAGATAAATGATTACAATAATTGCAGTAATTACAACAATATTGAAATAGAGTAGTAAAGGGAAGCAGTTAAAGAAAAGAAAAAGACATGAAAAGCCAAGTCAGTTTTCGCAGTGAAAAAAAATAAAGGACAATAAATAAATAAAGCGATTAATGAGATAATAAAGTCACAAGCAACATGCAATGGTAAAAGCCTAAAGAAATCCCCAGCAGAGTCGCCATACTATCGACACCCCCTTTTTCTCCCCCGCATTTGGGGTCGAAATCGGGTATACGACATTTGGGAAGGACAACTCTATTCCCTTTAGAGAATTGAGTTTTGGAGTTTGAAGAGTCGTCACCTAATGATTATAGTGCATTAGGACACTTTTAGAAGAGTTGGAGATGAAAACCAGAGATTAGGGTAAGGGCTAGAAATTATCCCGAGGGGAAGGTGTTAGGCACCCCTCAAGATCCACTAGTGTGGTTCCCGGCCATGCTACAATTGTGACTTTAAGAAGACAGGTAAGAAAACAAAGTAAAGGGTTTCACATAGCTTTGCAAACAAGTTTAAGAGTTGAGGAAGTAGAGAGTTTAGAAAACTAGTCTTAAAAGAAAACTTAAAAAGTTAACAAGTAAAGGGGAAGGGGGTCCTAGGTTTATCGATAATATGGATCATATCAATGCAATATCTAGCAATCACTCCTCAGAAGAGGGGTCGCACGTGATATTAGTGCACCGGTCATCATATCCACATTCTACCCTTCCCACCCCGTTAAGGTATTTAAACGCGATTAGTCTCGTTACTTATTGCATGCTAATACCTGTCCCAACCTATCAGTCCCGGGGTATTAGGACTTCTAATCCTAAGAGGGAAGAAAGGGATGGGGCCTTTATGGGGTTTCAAAGGACAAAATTCTAATTCGACAATCAAAACAAATATCAAATAAAAGGATGAGTAAACAGGCAAATAAGGCTCAAATAAACCCCTTAAATCAGACAACACTTAGTTTACCATGTCTTAGCATATACTGATTTGGTCTTAAGTTAAAAATTAAGCAGCGAGCGGACTGGTTCAACACATATATTTAGACAGAAAGTCTGCATTAGGCAACTCGGATACAATTGTCAGAGATTAAGGTATTTTAATGCGAGTTATTTTTTTAGGAAGACATTGATTTTAGAAAATAACTAATGCAGAAAGGTTTTTGAAAGAAAGAACAGACCGCAGACTCAGTTTAGAAATGAGTTTCAAAAAGGATCAGAAGACTGTCCAGTTATAAAACACAGAAATGGTTGTAAAATTTTCAGAAGAGTCAGAGCTTATCTAAAGAACAGAACTGACTTAAACAGCGAATTCACGAATTGAGTTGAAAAAAAAAACGTTTAGGCAGAACATCATAGAAACCATTTCAGAAAGATATGCAGATTTGAAGAATTCAATTTTCAGAACAAATGTACACTGATTTAAGAGAGAGCGTTTATCAAAAGGTTAGAGTTTCAGAAAACATTACTGAATTACGCATCTAAAAACTAATTAGCCAGCTGTTACTGTCTTTAAAAAGGGTAAACGGTTTTGATGCAAATCCTAAAGGCATGGTATCTACATTATTGATTGTCCAGAACTTGTTTAATTAATCCTAGAATTTTTGCCTAATGAATATGCATATCCTATAGGCATGATATCTATAGATAATGAACGTTAAACCCTATAGACATGCTTTCTATGTGATTTGAATCAGAAATATTAAACAGACATATAGGCAGGATTTCTAGTAAAATTAAAGAATAGAGTCCTAAAGCATGATTTCTACCCTTTTTGATGCAAGAAAGTAAAACCCCTCCCACACCCTTTTACTATGCTCCCCGAGTTTTATACAAATTATTACAAAACCAAAAAAAGATAAAAATACATCAAAGACCAGCAGCTAGATCCGAGCAGCCTAATTCAACCATAATGTCTAATAATATGTGATTAACCAATTTCGAATCCAGATTTCCAAAGCCGTCTCTTTATCCAAAGTGTTTCAAAGTTCCGAGGAATCTCAAGGATTTCCGGCATTGCTTACACCCAGGATACCATTGAAAATTAGAATAGTGCAGTGCAGAATAGCCAGCCCTCAGGCATCCAAGTTCAGTAGGAGCTCAAGGGTCCCAAAGCATGGCTTGCAAGAGGGGGGCATAACTTATAGCTAGGAGTAAGTGCAAAGTGAAAAGGAAATTGGGGAGCCATAACAGATGGCGGTCATGCCTAGCCACAAGTGCAGGCTGGCACACCCCTGACCACTTGTATGGGTTAAACAAGTTAGGAGCAGACCCTTGAAGGTCAGACCATGGTCTAGAAAGTGATTAGGACACTATCAGACCTAAGTCCAAGGCTCAAGCACATAAAAGGGAAAAGGGAGTGGGAATTGATTGAGTTAGGGATTCAAAGAACCCAGTTCAGAATCATAGACAACAATATTAGAGTGCTGCTATGCCCTGAACCCAACTCACACACAAAGGGGAAAGGGAAAGAGAATTCACATAAGAAAAGTAGTAACAAAGTTGCAGAAACACAGTAAAGAAGAACATAACAGAACTAGAATGTAAAAACACATAATGAAGAAGCATTATTCAACGAAGAATAACGTACCAGTTGCAAAGTAAGAACAAGCAGAACAATAGAGCAATCACGGCAAGTAGACACGACAGGAGCAGCCTTAAGTTCAGCAGAACACTTGAGAGTTTTAGAGAGAGAGCTCGAAATTGTTTCAGAAAGCACAAAGTAGAAGAAGAGAGTAGAATTTTTGTGAAAGAACTCAGTATTCGAATGTGTAAAAGCCTGTGTTTTTGTGCAAAAAAGTCTGTGAAAGCATGTGAAAAGCCTTTCCCTTTTATAGTGAAGAAGGTGAGTAAAAAAAAAGGTAAGAGAATAGTTTTGCAATCAATCACAAGCTGTTTCCCTTTGGTTAAGGGATTTGATTCAAACGGACAACATAAATAAGGAAAGGATTTGTTTTGAACAATCTTTTCTAAGGCAGTATAACAGGGGTAAATACACAGAAACCTATTTAAGGAAACAGTTTAGTGGTACACGGTTTAGGTCAAGCAAGGAAAGACAATCAATCAACCAGCTAGTAAAATCAGGATTCGAATCTCAGTGCAAATGAATCCAACCAGAAAAAGGTGAGAAGGGGTCTAATTTAAGAAAATCAGTAACACTCAATCAATCCTTATAAAAAGGAATTCGGAATCAATCACAAGTTGGCAAAAGACCTTTTGAAAGAAGAGTTTATCATATATAAAGCATACAGACATGTGAAACAAAGAGAGAGACTAGTATAGGAAAATTCAAAGTCATAACAAAGAGGTTCAAGTTCAGTTCATAGACTCAGAATGAGTTTGAGAGAGCCCAGGGTTCTAAAAACAGAACCCTAGTCCAAACACAAGATCAAAACTCGCCAAAACCCCAAACCCTAGGGTTTCCAACTCGAGTAGGATACAGAGAGGAGAAGGCAAGCCATTGAAACAGACTCAGTGACCTCTTTCAGAGTCTCAGGAGAAAACACACAGATACAATAGCAAGTTTGAAGCAACAGAGTGAAAAAGCTTATTTAAAGCATAAGGAACATGTTTTAAGAAAAGCTCGGAACTCAAACAAGTTCAGAAGAGAAAAGAGGTGATACAAAACTTAGGAAACAATATATGAAACATGTTTAGAACTCAAACAAAGGTCCAGTAAAGGTAAACAAAGGATTAAAAGCTCAGTAAAAATACAGTAAAGGAACACATAAGATAGACATGTAAAACATGCTATAGAAAGAACAGAGCATAATAGAAGAACATGCATAATACACCAAACACAAGAACACAGGAGAAAAAAAACATGCGAGTTAGAAAAGGAGAACATAAGAACATAGCATAAACAAATTCACACAAGAAAAGAAGAAGAAGAAAAGTCAGAAAACATCTTAAAACTTTTCAGAAACCCTAAATCTAAGAGAAACGAATTTTTGAAAGAAAAGATTAGGGAAAACGTTTTAAAGCTCCATTAGAGCACATATAAGGCATAGATCTAAGAAAACAACCAGAGAAAAGCCTCGAATAGCTTTAGGGTTTCAAAGAAACCCTAGAAATGAGAAGGCTTGGAAGAAAGTCCGGTCTTGAGTCGAATGAGTCAGAAATAGGCTCCTAACGTTTGGACACGCCGGAGCAAGGCCGGAGAGGCTATAGAACCTTGGATCTGTAGAGGATCTGAACGGACGCCATCGAGGTCAGACCTCGAAATCTCGAACACCCATGGTTTAGGGGTGGAAGAAGGTGAGTACAGGCCATCCATGGCCTGGGAAGCCATGGATTCCGGTGAGGAGACGGGTGAGAGAGGCTAGGGTTTCAGGACCCTTCGAGAGAGAGTTTGAGAGAGGAGAGTATCCAAAGGCGGTTATCAGAGAGAAATGAGGGATTAGGTTTGGGTTAGGTGAGTTTAAAAGGAAAGGGGTAATCGTGGCCGTTGATCAAAAGGATCAATGGCCTGGATTAAAAGGAATTTGGGCGGGTAAAGATAAACGGGCTATGGGTCGGGTTATTTGGGAAATTGGGTCGGGGATTTTGGTCCAATTGGGGGTTAAGATTGGGGTTCATTTGTGCTAAAATTGAAAGGTAAATGGGGCTACAATTGAAACGAATTGGGGCTATATATTAAATAGCCAATTTTTTCCTTTTATTTTATAAAAATAGTAAAAAATGATTTTGAAATTAAATTATAGTACTGAATCAGTAAATAGTATATAAATATTAATTTAAAATACTGGGATCAATTTTTATAATTATAAAATACTATAAAATCTTAAAGAGGCTAGTATTGCAATTATATGCAATTTAGTTTTAAAAATACCAAACGAATTTGTAAAAATATGCAAAAATCATGTTAGCTATATATTGATATAAATATGAGAATGAAATAAATTATCCTCCAAAATGGCAAGCTTTGGGAATAATTATGGGATTTAATGGTGTAAAAATAGGACATAAATTGGTTTAAAAATCATTAAAAATGCCAAAACTCTTTGGGATACTTATATATACACATATATGTCATTTTGAAAATATATAGGGAAAAATTGGGTATCAACAACCATAAATCTCCCAAGTGGTGACTCTGAATATTTTAACAATAAATCTCGTTTTGATTGTTCTTTAATTGGAAAAACTCCCTTATACTCCCTTCTCGGGGATGTAGGTAAAAAAAGGAGGTGTGACAGCTCTGGCAACTTTGCTGGGGATCGAACCCAGAATCTCTGGTTCAGGGTTCAGAATTCGAGCTTAGATAAATTGTTATATTTGGCTTTATCTATTATCTGATTTTAGTACATGTTTGGGCCTAAATGTGCAAAATGTTGCTTTACCGCTTTGATATTATCTGGAACAGTATATAAACTGCTACGAAACCCTTCTCTTCTCATCTTCGGGGATGTGCTCGCTGGTCGAGACTCCTTATTCTGTTAGTGTCATACCTTGAAATAAAAAAGAGGCTTGGACAAGTTACAAAGCCAGATGGCCTTTTGGTTCCCGGTACGTAGCCCCCTCTTCGGCTCGAGTTGTCCGCTCGGGTACACAGTCTAGAACACATAAACAGGTTGTGAACCTAGAATAACTCAGCCTCATGCCGGATCCCTAGTAGGAACGTTTGTTTGCATCATGTGAATTTGACTTTGGAGACTCAACACATGGGTTGGGTCTGTTTAGGACAGGTGTACCTGAAATAAAAGACCATCTTGATGCATCCTATGTGCTACATGTTGCATTTCTTCAAGGGTAAAGGGTCATTTGGCGAACCGAGTATGTTGACGGTCAAACAATACCAACTTGGAAACTTATTGATGGGGTCTGTAAAGAGAGTCTAGCATTTGAAACAGCTCAGAGAGAAGGAATTCCAGAAATATTGATTCGAAGAGCAGAAGAATTGTATAATTCAGCTTATGTGAATCAGATATCAAAGAAGAAAGACCAAATAAGACCTGTTTGTTCAGATTTTGACCTCAATAGCGCAGATAAAATCTTTGACCAATTAAATGGTGCAAGAAAAATAGCTCTGGATTCTAGCACAAAATTAATGGAGCGAATGGGAAGTGCATACAAGGAACTTGAAGATGCTATCTTTCTTATCTGTCATAAGAAGTTAATCGAGCTGTGTAAAGTGAAAAATGCGTCGGAAGTGGCAAATGTGAATTGTGTTCTCATTTCTGCCATGGAACAGTCAGCTCAATCAACAATTGGTGCTTTAAGTGTATATATAATGTTAAGACCTGACAAAAAGTTTTACGTTGGACAGACTGATGATCTTGAGGGCCGAATCTGTGCTCATCGCTTGAAGGAGGGAATGGAAAATGCTTCATTCCTATATTTCCTAGTCCCTGGCAAGAGCACAACATGTCAACTGGAAACTCTTCTAATAAACCGACTTCCTGATTATGGCTTTCAGCTAACGAACATTGCTGATGGTAGGAACCGTAATTTTGGCACGACTAGTCTCTCTCTGGAACCTTCGACTGCGCTGAGATGATCTCACCATCAGCTTGGTGTGGAAAAGTTGAAGTTGGTGTATAAAATTTGTATATCAGATGTGTATTCTTAGACAGTTAGTTTTGGTGAATTTTACGCAATGAGTAATTCAACTTGCGGTGGCTGCAGCAATTTTGGGACACAAAGGCACTTGATGATGGAATTATGGGAATGAAGATAATTGGTCAATCCCCTTATTGGTTGCAACGCGAGGTGCTGGTGTACAGAATACAGTAGAGATGCAGTCAATGTTTCTTGTGACAGGTCCAAATGGTGGGGGCAAATCAAGCTTGCTGCGATCGTTGTGTGCAGCTGCATTGTTAGGAATGTGTGGATTCATGGTTCCAGCTGAATCAGCTGTCATTCCTCATTTTGATTCAATTATGCTGCATATGAAATCATATGATAGTCCTGCTGATGGAAAAAGTTCATTTCAGATTGAAATGTCTGAAATTCGTTCTCTGGTTACTGGTGCCACTTTAAGAAGTCTTGTACTTATAGATGAAATATGTCCAGGAACAGAAACGGCCAAAGGGACATGTATTGCTGGAAGTGTTATAGAAACCCTAGACGCAATTGGTTGTTTGGGAATTGTATCAACCCACTTGCATTGAATTTTTGATTTACCCATGAAAACCAAGAGGACTGTGTATAAAGCGAATGGGGCCCAATTATGTTTTCTGTCACATTTTTGTTAAAAAAAAAGGCTTGAAAATTCAAAAAAATATTTTGCACTTTTTCATCATTTGTCGAAAATCAGAAAATCAAAACAAAAAGAGAAAAAGAAAATCCAAAAAGATTTTGCATGTTTCGTTATTTTTCAAGAAAAAGCAAAAAAAATGTGATTTCTATAAATTAGTGTTTTTTTTTATTCTCGCCCGTATCCAATCTACCCGAACTACGCATACCTGATTCTCATCTTTTGGGGCGTGATACGTAGGCAACCCACATAGGGTCCGGTCTTTCTAGTAAATCTTAGGTTCTTGGCTTTGCGGGGTCTTAGCCAAATTTTGCACTTCTAGCCATCTTTTAGCCAAATAAGTTATTTTGCAAAAATAGCCTAAATCATGTCTTGCATGTTTCCAACATGAAAGGTCATTGTCTCACATAGCGCTCTAGGTCTTTAACCTATTTGGTTTTCATTTTCTCATACAGGCGTGGATTTACTTATCGGAGTTTGAGTATGACAGAGCCCCAGGACATCTAGCCAGGATCGCTCATTCAGGAATGGATTAAAAGAAGATTTTCTTTTCTTTTTATTTTTGAGTCTATTTTTTTTTGTTTTTTTTTATTTTATGTCGTCTTTTTCCTTTAGTTTTGTATAACAATGTCGAGTTTTATTATTATTATTGTACTTTCTATTTTGCATTTAAAAGGGTGTGTAATGAACCAAAAATCCAAAAAAAAAAAAATTGTGTTTTATATTTCCGTTAGGAATTTTCTTTAGAATACTAATTGTAGGAATGAAAAAAAGTATTTTGGAGACGGTTTTTCCTTTAGGCAATTAATATCTAGGACTTAAATAAAAATTATTTTTATATTTCCTTTACTATATTAGGACCAAAATTCAAAAAAAAAAACTTCCTTTTAGTACCTTTTTAAAAGTTTTCTTTAAGGCATTAATCTCAAAAGTCCAAAAAGATTTTCTTTTGAGGTTCTTCTTTGGGAAATTAATGAAAAATGGAAAAAAAAATATTCTTTCAAGAACTTTAGGATATTGTACATAGAGGAAAAAGGAACATACTTTATCTTTTGTTTAAAGTTTCTTCCTTCAGGCAATCAAATTGAGATTCAAAAATGTTGTTTTATCTTTTTCATTGCTTGTTTCAAAATCCTGCATCAGGATATCAAATAAAAATTCAAAATATTTTTCTCTGGTTTATTCTTTAGATTTCCTTCAAAAAAAAAAGAATCAAAAAATATTTTTCTATTCTAGGGTTTTTTCCCTTGATAATTTCCCATAGAGTATTTGTTTCAAAAAGAAAAAAAAAAGAAAAATATATGATTGTTTAAGATTGAGTTTAGAATAGGTTATAGAACATTAAGTCTAGAAAATTCAAAAAAAAAAGGTTTGCTTATTTTATCATCAGAGTGGTCATTAAGGTAAAAAAAGAGATGAGAACATTAGTTTGTTTTCTTTATTTCTGATCTTCCCGAACTACACAACGATCTGATTCATGCGGCATCATGATACGTAGGAAAACTACATATGGTTCGATCGAATTATTTTTTTATTATTAAATGAAAAAGAAAAAAAAAGGAAAAAGGAAAAAAAAAGAAGAAAAAAGATGGCAAAATTATGGGATGTGAGAAATGAGAAGGAAAAAAAGAGCGATAATCAGAAAGAAAAAAGGGAAAGAAAATGAGCGAGCTAAGAAGTGCGAGGAAATAAAAGAAAAGAGAAGATTCAAGTGGACAAATTGGGATGATGCCAAGTGACCTTATGACCCTCGAAGTCATTCTAGAACCATTAATTGTTGCTAGGTGCATTGCACGCAATGTGATATTTTTGATGTTAAATGCCCTAACGCTAACGGGATGACCCCATTTTGTTCCTTTTGATATCTTCATAGTAGAAAGGTGGTTGGTGTGTGGTTCTCGAAGTAGTAAATCCTCTCCACAACATAAAGTCAAAAGGCAATGGCAGACAACAACAAAACTGAGTTGGTTGATACCGATGCCCGGAAGCAGTTGTTTGAACAGGACAATGGGTTGGTTGAAGAGGTAAAGATGTTAAGACAACACATTTCGGACATGTATTAGGCTTGGATGACTGGGAAGACACCACCCCCGCCACCACCTAGCTTTTTAGATGCTACCCTTACCCAAACTCTGGTCATAGTGCCAGATGATCCTCCATACTCTCTAGATCCACCCGTTTATCAAAGCTTTCCCAACCACCCTAGTAGCTCCATCACTCATCCTCCAATTACCTCTTTCTAAAATTGCCCTCCTGTCATATCCGTTATTCCCAACAATGAATACCCACTTAAAGCTCATGATGCCCAATATTACCCCTCAAAGGTTGCCCACAAGGTTCCTGACTCATACAAGAAGAGCCCTCGGGATGAGCTTCATGCTGAAAATGAAAAAAATCACAGGAAAAGAAGGGCGAGACGTGATATCCAAGAAGCTGAAAAGCATAGAACAGTCTTTAAAGAACATGCAAGGAATGGGAGACCAGGGTAACATGGCTTGTAAAGAATTGTCTGTGTCCCCTGACGTTCGCCTGCTCGCGGGGTTTAAAGTGCCAAAATTTAACTTGTATGATGGGTGTGGAGATCCGGTAGCCCATCTGAGGGTTTATTGAAGTGAAATGAGAAGTGTTGGAGAGAAAGATGACTTGTTGATGGAATATTTCAGTAAGAGCCTGACTGGGGCAGCTTTGGGGTGACATAATCGTCAAGATGTCGGTAAGTGGCCTACATTGGGTGACATGGCTCAAGATTTTGTTCGACGCTTTTAGTAGTCAGGCGTTACCCCATACCGCTCCTCCATATCTAGAATGGGAAAGAAGTTGGAGGAAAGCTTTAGAGAGTTTGGGCTCAGATGGAGGGAGCAGACTGCTCGAGTCAATACCCCTATTGGTGAAGAAGAAATGGTTGAGATTTTCCTACAAGCCTAAGGGCCCACCTACTTCAGTCATTTGATCCCATCCCTAGGGAAGCCTTTCAATGATGTGTTAAAAATGGGGGAGCTAGTAGAAGAGGGAATCAAGTCAGGCAAAATCATGAATTGTTCGAAAAACATTCAGAACATCCCAGTAAGCTTGGGTGGAAGAAAGAGAAACAGAAAAGATGATCCGATGGGCTTTCCCGATCAACACTTCCAGCCTCGACATCGTCCCCGTGGATATCCTTGTGCGCCAAATGATCCTCCCCAATGCCACTTCTCTCCATGGAACTCCCAAAATCGTACATCACTTTCCCAGTACCAAGCTCCACAAAATGCCTATCCACCCACACGAGCCTACCGAAAACCCCCTGGATCAGGTTTATGGCCCAATAAAGCATTTAAGAATGAGAGGTTGCTGAAAAAAGAAAAGGCTTTCACCCATATTGGAGAATCATATGCCAATTTGTTTCAAAAGTTGAAGCAATTGGACATGTTGAGGCCGATTCATATAAAAGTGCCGAATCCTCTGTCAAAGAAGTTTGATCTTTCTCAAAGGTGCGCATATTGCTCAGATGCCCCAGGGCATGACATAGAGAAGTGTTGGAATCTAAAGAAAGTAATTCAGAAGCTTATTGATGCAGGTGACATTGTCGTGCAAAATCCAGATGCAGCAGACACTAGCCAAAGTCCATCGCCTATTCATAATGAGACGCATATGGTGAGTATGATTTGTTTTGAAAAGGAATATGAAAATTCTTCTGAGATCCTCGAAGGTGCACGCGCTGCAAAGTTTTCAGTGCTATCAGAGGTTGATCTTAAGAACGAGCCAACAAAGGGAACTCAAAAGCAATTTGTTAAGAACAATGTGATGGAAGCTTGTGAAGGTCCTAGTAATGTTGGTGCGGAATTCAGTGGCTAAGACGCCGAGCTTGGCAATTGGCAAGACGCTCCTGTCTTGGTTAGCTAGGGAGGAGTTTTGGTGGTTTATTTTGTTGTTATTTCTGTTGTCCGGGTTATTTTAGGATTGTAATCCGGATATTGTCTTGTGACTCAAACCTTTCTATCCTTTTATTTTGCTTAGTTTGTTTAGTCATAATAGCCCGTTTAGTGTTGTCTAGGTTTGTTCTAGGTTTGTAACCCCAGTTTAGTTTGTTTGTTTTGTTGTCTAAACCCTTTCACCATCTGTCTAATGTCATTTTCTGTTTTGTGTGATTTCTAGTCATTTTCGTTTAGTTCTCTTTTCTTTTTATAATTCTTTTCCTGTTGACTCTAGTGACATGACATGCACGCGTAATTCTCAGCCTGGTTTTAAAAGTCAGTTTAGTCACGAAGCAATGAAACAATGTTGAAGATTTAGGGATATTGGAGGGAAATAAGTGAAGGCATTTTGAGATCACTTCAAGCCCGAATTGTGTGAAACTGGGGCAGGTAGAACATAAAAATACACTATTGGAATACATCATGCTGCATCGGGTGAAGATAATGGCAAGTTTGCCCCAAATTTGTTGGGAGGCGTTTGTGTTAATGAGAGTGAGGGTGTTGTCCAATGGGGCTTGGTAATTAACAGATGTAGAAGGCGAATGCGTGGATATGGTTATCAAGTCTAATGCAATCAAAAAATGTTACAAGTGTTTTCCTTGGTTTGTTTAAATTGTGTAGTTTGCACTTGGCATGTTTTGGAGATTGGAATGACGAAGGCATTTTGTTCTGCTATCTAAATACTTTATCCTTCATTACCCCTTTGAGCCTTATTTATTTTCTTTCATACCCCTCTTTCGGAATCAGTGACAAAGATCAGAAACGCAAGCGTGAAAGATGAGTAAAGGAAAAAAAGAAAAGAAAAAGAATGGAAAGAGAGAGAAGAAAAGAAGAAGAAAGAGAAAAGAAAAATAAAAAAAAGAAAAAAAAGAGAGGAAAAAACAACGAAAAGAAAAAACAAAAAGAAGAAAAGAAGAGAAAGAAAAAGAAAAGAAAAATTACAACAAACAAAGTAATTCCT